AAAAAAAATAATAGGGAGCTTCTTCAGTCTTAGAAGAAACAATAAGAACACATCACATGTCTTATTCGGTAAAGAAATTAAAAAAAAAAAAAAATAATTAAAACAAATATGACATACCAGAGGAGTTCGGCCTTTTGGACTGATTGTCTATTATTGTTGCTAAAACGATGTCTCTCGTCTTGATTTTATTGAACTGATATATTTTTTCTATGCCATTTTGTTTTTCTTTTTTCTTTTCTTTTCTTTTTTGTTGCTAGGTTATAAGCCTTAGTTTTTTATGTGCATCTAATTTCAAATCCTAAACAGAGAAGGAACGGGTAAAAGTGTTCATATCTTCAAATTGTCTCCAAAATCGTCTACAACTGGTTGAAATAAAAATAAAAAAATATGAATAAATTATTAAAAAACAAGTACCGAACGTGCAGCTGGCAACGTGAGACGTAACACCTGTTTCTTAAATCTTTAACGTATTATTCCATGAAGTTGCTAAAAGCTAAAAGACTCATTACAAGCTTTCTTGGGCAGATAAAGCAAAGGTCCTTGAAGGGGTTCGATGACCTGATGGGAGTTGCATTATACATCAAGTTTATTATCAAGAGTTTAAAGGACAATCGAGGTTATCTTTATCGCTCGAATAACGATTTTAAAAGATTTCATTTTGTGGTAAAGTACCTGAGTTACTCTTAAGTTATTCCTGAGTTAAGCCCACGGGGGGTACTATTTGAGTTACTCTCATAGTTACTCTCATAGTTACTCCCCTTGGGTTGGGTTACTCGACTAAGTTATTATAAGTTATTCGCTAGGTTACTCCATGATTTCCTCTTTGAGTTATTTTCTCGTTTATTCTCAGTTACTCCTAAAGTCACTCGTTGTTGCTCAAGCCAGGCAGACAAACAAACACAAACAAATGGCCAATTTCACTAGACAATTCACTAAATTGATGACAGGTAATGGTTTGTTTGATTTGTAGTTTCTTTCATATATGGTTTGTCTCATTTATGCTTCAAGGAGTCCAGGATAAGTGTGATAGAAAAAACAGCCTTGAGTTTTGTATTTTCTTAACTACAAAAAGTACAAAAAACATGGACATTATAATATGCAGCAGCCTACGTAGAAATATTTCAAATTATAGATTTGATCATTTGAGTTATTGTTATTGTTCATATGTTTGTTCTTCTCATTTTCCTTTCACTGTTGTTGTCTGTTTTATATGTATATATATATATATATATATATATATATATATATATATATATATATATGTGTGTGTGTGTGTGTGTGTGTGTGTGTATATATATATATGTGTGTGTGTGTGTGTGTGTGTGCGTGTGTGTATGTGTGTGTGTGTGTGTGTGTGTGTGTGTGTGTGTGTGTGTGTGTGTGTGTGTGTGTGTATGTGTTTGTCATATTCAGTCATATCTTTGTCATTTTCCCATACTTTATGCAATTCGTCCCTTCTCTTTTTATTAAGTCGCTGCTTCCATCTCCGTCTCCTCTTCAATCTTCGACCTGAAAGAAAATTGTGATAAAAGGTATTTAAAAGAATGATGTTTAAAGGAAAGAAGGAAAATAACTAATGAATGATAATTCAACGTGAAATAGGAATATATAATTATAAAACACGTGATATCTACTGAGTATTCTTCTTATATAATCAGTTGAGGATAAACGTGTACAAATCATGGCACGAATAAAGAAGGTTAAATGTTGTCACTTGAATTCAAATTCTGTAAACTATTATTGATTTGTTTCACATAATAGACAATTGTTTATTTCAGTTTTTTTTTTTTTTAGGTTTTTGTGAAGGAAGGAATACTAAATACTAAGTATACAAATTATCTCACGTACTCGTTAAATGTAAAAAAAAAAAATGTTTTTTTTTTTTAGGTCATGTCTCTAGTAATTATAACTCAATATCAACTCTTAATAGATGTAGTTATGAAAACATTAAGAAATATTCTAAACATAACTTAAGTGAATTTCTGTCTCCGATTTGGCAAATATCGTTCTGAGGAAACGAGATAAAAACCGGAACAAGAAGGGAAATCTTCACCTGCAGAAGGGTCGGGCGGCGCGGTGGCAGAACTTCTCCGCCTGAGGCAGCGTCTGGGGCAGCACCACGCCGTTCGTCTCCGGCAGGAAAAGCGTGGCGGCTCCTCCAATCACCGACAGCCCTCCGAACACCAGGAGCGGCAGTGTCGTGAGAATCTCACCCTAGAAATGGCAGTTTAATCTTTCAGTGCACTCACATTGGCGCCTCGAAACCTCTGATATTCCACCGTGTATCAAAAAATATTCAATCGGTATTTCAGTTATGTTTCTCCAATCAACGCATCGTAGAGAAATAACGCGGGAAAAAAAGGGAACGAGAATGTTTCGGAATGTGGTTCGGTTACATTCGAATCACTTCAATCCCGGAGGTGTTAAATGAATCAATGAGTACCAGGTAGACGATGGAGGGCGACAGGAAGATAGCGATGCCTCCCAGGGTCTCGGCCAGAGCCACCCCCTGGCCCCTCACCACCGTCGGGAAGACCTCGGGGCCGTACTGGAGGGTGATGTAGTACGCCCCTGTGATCGTCGAGCGGCCCACCAGCGCCAGGGTCAGGGACAACCATTCCATGTCTGCGGAGATAAACGTGTCGTATGCAGTTATAACATATATTTGTGGGTCGTGAGTCTTGTAAAAATGACTTTATTAGATCGTAGAAAGAGGACTTTAACGTAACAATATTTCTGATAACTTACACGTGTTAAGGACAACAGATGAAGGACTCAGAAGTGCCAGGTACGAACTAGAGAAACTCGCCCAGATAAGAAAACCTTAACAGTGGTCCTGCAATAGGCATCAATGTCCCCGAAACCATATCCCTAGACACCCATGACCAAAACACCCTAACAAATCTAATCAAAGAGCCCATCATCATTTAGCAGGAATCACGAAGAATTCCTAAAAATGAAAAGGAAAGGAGGGAACGCTGGGGCCGCAACAGACCCAGGGGCACGAGGGCATACAGGACGCTGGCGCCACCGGAGAGCAGGAACAAGACGGTGAGAGGAAGACGTCGACCCAGCCGGTTGATGAGCCAAGGCGCCGACCACGACGGGATCTCGACCGCCGCCCCGAGTAGAGAGAGAGAGAGAGAGAGAGAGAGAGAGAGAGAGAGAGAGAGAGAGAGAGAGAGAGAGAGAGAGAGAGAGAGAGAGAGAGAGAGAGAGAGAGAGAGAGAGAGAGAGAGAGAGAGAGAGAGAGAGAGAGAGAGAGAGAGAGAGAGAGAGAGAGAGAGAGAGAGAGAGAGAGAGAGAGAGAGAGAGAGAGAGAGAGAGAGAGAGAGAGAGAGAGAGAGAGAGAGAGAGAGAGAGAGAGAGAGAGAGAGAGAGAGAGAGAGAGAGAGAGAGAGAGAGAGAGAGAGAGAGAGAGAGAGAGAGAGAGAGAGAGAGAGAGAGAGAGAGAGAGAGAGAGAGAGAGAGAGAGAGAGAGAGAGAGAGAGAGAGAGAGAGAGAGAGAGAGAGAGAGAGAGAGAGAGAGAGAGAGAGAGAGAGAGAGAGAGAGAGAGAGAGAGAGAGAGAGAGAGAGAGAGAGAGAGAGAGAGAGAGAGAGAGAGAGAGAGAGAGAGAGAGAGAGAGAGAGAGAGAGAGAGAGAGAGAGAGAGAGAGAGAGAGAGAGAGAGAGAGAGAGAGAGAGAGAGAGAGAGAGAGAGAGAGAGAGAGAGAGAGAGAGAGAGAGAGAGAGAGAGAGAGAGAGAGAGAGAGAGAGAGAGAGAGAGAGAGAGAGAGAGAGAGAGAGAGAGAGAGAGAGAGAGAGAGAGAGAGAGAGAGAGAGAGAGAGAGAGAGAGAGAGAGAGAGAGAGAGAGAGAGAGAGAGAGAGAGAGAGAGAGAGAGAGAGAGAGAGAGAGAGAGAGAGAGAGAGAGAGAGAGAGAGAGAGAGAGAGAGAGAGAGAGAGAGAGAGAGAGAGAGAGAGAGAGAGAGAGAGAGAGAGAGAGAGAGAGAGAGAGAGAGAGAGAGAGAGAGAGAGAGAGAGAGAGAGAGAGAGAGAGAGAGAGAGAGAGAGAGAGAGAGAGAGAGAGAGAGAGAGAGAGAGAGAGAGAGAGAGAGAGAGAGAGAGAGAGAGAGAGAGAGAGAGAGAGAGAGAGAGAGAGAGAGAGAGAGAGAGAGAGAGAGAGAGAGAGAGAGAGAGAGAGAGAGAGAGAGAGAGAGAGAGAGAGAGAGAGAGAGAGAGAGAGAGAGAGAGAGAGAGAGAGAGAGAGAGAGAGAGAGAGAGAGAGAGAGAGAGAGAGAGAGAGAGAGAGAGAGAGAGAGAGAGAGAGAGAGAGAGAGAGAGAGAGAGAGAGAGAGAGAGAGAGAGAGAGAGAGAGAGAGAGAGAGAGAGAGAGAGAGAGAGAGAGAGAGAGAGAGAGAGAGAGAGAGAGAGAGAGAGAGAGAGAGAGAGAGAGAGAGAGAGAGAGAGAGAGAGAGAGAGAGAGAGAGAGAGAGAGAGAGAGAGAGAGAGAGAGAGAGAGAGAGAGAGAGAGAGAGAGAGAGAGAGAGAGAGAGAGAGAGAGAGAGAGAGAGAGAGAGAGAGAGAGAGAGAGAGAGAGAGAGAGAGAGAGAGAGAGAGAGAGAGAGAGAGAGAGAGAGAGAGAGAGAGAGAGAGAGAGAGAGAGAGAGAGAGAGAGAGAGAGAGAGAGAGAGAGAGAGAGAGAGAGAGAGAGAGAGAGAGAGAGAGAGAGAGAGAGAGAGAGAGAGAGAGAGAGAGAGAGAGAGAGAGAGAGAGAGAGAGAGAGAGAGAGAGAGAGAGAGAGAGAGAGAGAGAGAGAGAGAGAGAGAGAGAGAGAGAGAGAGAGAGAGAGAGAGAGAGAGAGAGAGAGAGAGAGAGAGAGAGAGAGAGAGAGAGAGAGAGAGAGAGAGAGAGAGAGAGAGAGAGAGAGAGAGAGAGAGAGAGAGAGAGAGAGAGAGAGAGAGAGAGAGAGAGAGAGAGAGAGAGAGAGAGAGAGAGAGAGAGAGAGAGAGAGAGAGAGAGAGAGAGAGAGAGAGAGAGAGAGAGAGAGAGAGAGAGAGAGAGAGAGAGAGAGAGAGAGAGAGAGAGAGAGAGAGAGAGAGAGAGAGAGAGAGAGAGAGAGAGAGAGAGAGAGAGAGAGAGAGAGAGAGAGAGAGAGAGAGAGAGAGAGAGAGAGAGAGAGAGAGAGAGAGAGAGAGAGAGAGAGAGAGAGAGAGAGAGAGAGAGAGAGAGAGAGAGAGAGAGAGAGAGAGAGAGAGAGAGAGAGAGAGAGAGAGAGAGAGAGAGAGAGAGAGAGATGGGGCCGCAACAGACCCAGGGGCACGAGGGCATACAGGACGCTGGCGCCACCGGAGAGCAGGAACAAGACGGTGAGAGGAAGACGTCGACCCAGCCGGTTGATGAGCCAAGGCGCCGACCACGACGGGATCTCGACCGCCGCCCCGAGTAGATAGCTTGTGAACATGTTGGAGCCCAGGTGCGCGGTGTTCTGGCAGTGCCCGTAGTAACACATGCATCCTAACATCCTGTCGGGAAAGCAGAAGCGACGTTAATGGCTTTTGTGGTTTCTGGAGGATATTAAGAGAACACAGGAGAAGCTCTTCTTAACTCCGCGATGCTTCCTAAAAAAGGTAAAATATAATCATGATGAAATGACATGAAAATCTATCTTAAGATGTGATTATTATAAGCATTTTTTTTTATTTCGATAAAATATTTTAAGTGTTCTTTTTGGCTTTAACTTTACGATACATAAAGTAAAATTATAATTATTGTTTGTTTCCCCGAAAGAGATTAGCAATATGAAATAATTCATCCTCAAAGGACGAGAGAATAAAAATTGACGAGTGTGGTACCGAAAGATTGGATAACATCAAATTTGAAAAAAAAAAGAAAAAAAAATAGATAGCTCCTCTAAACAATCTGCAGATTTGGTTAAGCAGTTGAGACTGACCAAGACCACTCACTAAACAACACAGAATCGCCACAACCAATCCCTGACTCACCACACCAACAGCACGAGCAAAATGCTGTTCCTCAGGTGGCGGTACCTCACCAACTGTATCACAGACCGGCTGGCCACCTCTCCAGCTGCTTCGTCAGATTTGTCTCCGCCTTCAGAAATCAGCTGGTTGACTCTCTCACCTAGAAGCGTCCGTTTGTTAACCTTGGCTACTTTTTCCAGCTGTTTAGTAGCCAGCTGGGAGCGACCACGTGCTATGAGCCAAGAAGAGGACTCAGGGATCCACCTGCGGGAATGTACAGAGGCTGTCTGTTAGGGAACCTACCATCTGCTTTGCAATTCATATATGCACTGAATATTGCAGAGGCAAGTCATATGGCACATGAGTGAAAATCAAGGGTTCATGGCACATACAACAATACTATATTTCTGACATGAAGGGACAGGTTAGAGGATAGAGAAAGAGAGAGAGAGAGAGAGGGGGGGGTAGGGAGGAAGTGAGAGAGAGCGAGAGAGAGCGAGAGAGAGAGAGAGAGAGCCGAGGAGAGAGAGAGAGAGAGAGAGAGCGAGAGGAGAGAGATAGAGAGAGAGAGAGAGCGAGAGAGAGAGAGAGAGAGAGCGAGAGAGAGAGAGAAGAGAGAGAGAGAGAGAGAGAGAGGAGAGAGAGAGAGAGAGAGAGAGAAAGAAACCCGTAGAAGTCGCTGACGAAGACCGAGGCGACGCCCGCAACGCCGTAGACCAGGGCGATCATCAGGATCGTTGGGCGTCGGCCGTATCTGCGTTAGAGGAGGATTCATTTTTTCTTATCATCATTGTCAGTATAATTATTATCACTGTTATTATCATTACTATTATTATTATCATTATATTTGTTATTATCATTACTATTATTATTATCATTATATTTGTTACTATCATTACTATTATTATTATCATTATATTTGTTATTATCATTATATTTGTTATTATCATTTATATTATCATCATTATCGTTATCATCACCATTATCATAATTATTATCATCGTTATTATCAAAATTATCATTATTATCGATATGTATGAATAGGCAGACAAACAGATAGATAAATAGATAGACAAATAGATAAACAGACAGACTGAATGACTGATAAACAGAGAGACAGCAAGGTAGATATAGATACAGACGCACATAGATATGCGCGTCTGTGTGTGTGTACCAATCTGTCTGTGGGGGTATACACGTGTTGCATACATTCACCGTTAACAAATTACCTTCAATAATATACAAAACACTGAATATGTAAACTATAAAAGCAAACACAATTTTACAGACATTCGACGTTCACTAGCAACCTAACTAAGATGTTCCTAATATCACTTTTTCAACGTTCATTCTGTTGTCTCTATATTTGTCTTCCTATGTTGTTGTTCCCGCAGAAGTGTCCATGACCTGCAATACAAGTGGCCAGGGACAGTGACATAAAGAATGCCAGGCAACACTTCAGTCGGAAAGGAGAGAGTGTAAGCATACCGTAAGCTTGTATACTGTGTGTACGTGAGAGAGAGAGAGAGAGAGAGAGAGAGAGAGAGAGAGAGAAAGAAAGAAAGAAAGGAAAGAAAAAAAAAACAGAAAAAGGAAAAGAAAGAAAAGAAAAGAAAAGAAAAACATTAAAGAAAGAGAGAAAGAGAGAGAGTGTGTGCATGTGTGCATATGTGAGTGAGTGTGTGTGAGTGTTAGTGTGAGTGTGAGTGTGAGTGTGAATGTGAGTGTGTGTGTGTGTGTGTGTGAGTGTGTGTGTGTGTGTGTGTGTGTGTGTGTGTGTGTGTGTGTGTGTGTGTGTGTGTGTGTGTGTGTGTGTGTGTGTGTGTGTGTGTGTACGTGTGTGCCTTTGTGTTTGTGTTCGTGTCTGTGCCTGCGTCTATGACTCTGTTGGCTGTATCATTCATATCTGTGTATGCATTTACCGCTGTGTCTTTGCCTGTGTCTCGTATGTATCTATCCATATGTATGTATTTGTATGAGTATATCTATATCCACATACCTACATCTATGTCTGTGCGTTTAAGTAAAAATTTACAGACAGTACAAGTGTATTACAGACGACCCGTGACCAGCAATAATGAAACCTGAAATCCACTTAAAACGAGACAGCCGCTATCCTCATGTCAACAGCGTAGCCACACTTTGCAATGAAACCAGCCAACGAAATCTGGTTCTTCGAGGTCGATATCTATGTATATAAAGGATCTCTCGTGCCTTAGACCCTGACTATACTTACACATCCGATATAGTTCCGAAGATCCAAGAGCCTATAGTGTTGCCAACCCAGAACGCTGTGACCACCAGGTACGGCCGCCAAGCTTCGTCACATACCCAGTCATGCTGCGAAGGAAATGGGAGTTGGTAACGCTGCGGGGACTCGGTGGAAAAGGGTGATTGTTATTTTTTCTTATTGATTTGTACTTTTACTTCACTTTATTTAATCTTGAGAAATTTAATCCAGATATGGAGAAAAAAATGTGAAATACTGTGAATAATATGAATAAGAATGATTAACGTCATATTTCTCTCTCTCTCTCTCTCTCTCTCTCTCTCTCTCTCTCTCTCTCTCTCTCTCTCTCTCTCTCTCTCTCTCTCTCTCTCTCTCTCTCTCTCTCTCCCTCCCTCCCTCACTCCCTCTCCCTCTCCCTCTCTCTCTCTCCCTCCCTCACTCCTTCTCCCTCTCCCTCTCTCCCTCTCTCCCTCTCTCCCTCTCTCCCTCTCCCTCTCTCTCTCTCCCTCTCCCTCACTTCCGTCCTTACTACCACGACCCCAGTCACATCAAATACGACTTTCCCACGACCACCCACCTCAGACGTGAGGGACGAGAACAACGTGCCATAGTCGTAGTCCCAGCCGCTGTCGCAGGGCACATCGGGCGAAGGCAGCTGCCCTAGCGAGGTCACATTCATGAACTGACCCGGTGCCAGGCTCTCGTTGGCACTAAACCGATGGCAGGTGTAGGGTTTCATGGCACTGCTGTCCTGTGGGTTGTATTTCAGGCGTTAAAAGAGTTAAATGGTTAGAATGTATCATCATACATTATGGGTAGCTTTAGTGTAAGGAGATCACGTGGTTTGTTCAGGAAAATATCTGAATTAAATTGTGAAATTACAGACGAGTGTACGAAAAATCCTGTTATATATGGCACCGTTCATTAAATGTTATGGTATTTTTTATTAAGGCAGCTGTGATTGCTGTTCACATGTTTCACAACAGCAAAATACCCTTTACATGGCACTGCAATGTTGCATTACAACTAAATATCTTGTCCAAAAATATTAAGACATTTGCAAAGGCACGCGGAGATCTGAGGCTGCTAAAATAACAACTTTTTTAGTAAGCATGTAGCATAATTTTAATCACGCAATTGCTGTTGCTTATTATCAACATATCTTCACTTAAGAATCAGCCATGTGTTGTATATCATTGTTGGATATACTTAGTGTTATCCAAGTGTTATCCAGAGGTTATATTAACCTAGTCCTAACACATTCCCAAGTTCCAAAGAGCAGAACCTCAAAGTATGAATATCAAAACCGTGTAGTAAGTTAGCAGTAACGGGGCTAAAAGTTATTTCCCCAATAGCCTCTTCTACCTTGTTAGTTCCTGAAGATGTAATTATAAAACACAGATTACCAGTCTCCACAGCTTGGCGAATAAAAAAATGTTTTGCAAAAAGTTAATCTAAAAGAAAATTTAATTCCTGTGCCCACTACGATCTTTTGTTTCTACGATATCGCGGCGTGTTTTCTTGATTACCAATACTTATTAAACTTGTAGCAAAGATAGACATGAGGTTATTCCCGTAACTATAAAGTACATAACTCATTCTCATGGGTAGTTCACGTTTAAATTATTGATAAAAATTGTCATTATACTAATGAAATACTTTAAATATGTATCCCCCAGCTCCACTATAGCTGACGTCATCACCTGCGCGACCTGGGGAGGTTGGAATAACCTTTTATTCGCTTCACTTTAATAGTAAGAGTGAAGGCTATTGCTCATGGTCGCGATATAACGCATCAGGTTATCGATAACAATGGGTATAGTGATGACATAGTTCGTGATGAGTTACAGTGATAACAGTAACGATAATGTAATGACGCTCGTGATGTCAGAGATGTGTAACTATTGGTAATTAAAGGCTATAGCGGTAGTAAAATCCTCATGGTTTTGGAAGAATAGATATAAATGCAAAGCCGGTCATTCGAATACACACACACACACACGTACGCGCACAATTACTAAAAACTTTCATCAGAATATAATTATACCGTAATAGTAAGCTGTACGTCACATTGTATCGTATTACCAAAGGATGTTAAGTAGGTAATTAAGACGTTAAGTAGATAAGTAGGATGTTAAGTAGGTAATTAAAATCTTAAGTAGGTAAGTAAGATGTTAGACAGGTAAGATGTCAAGTAGGTAAGTATGACATCAAGTAGATCATTAAGAGGTTAAGTAAATAAGTAAGCTGATAGATAAGCAAGACGTTAAGTAAATAAGTAAGAGAGTAGATTGGTAAAATGTTAAGTAGGTAATTATGATGTTAAGTACGTAAGTAAGGGCCCCGTATATCTAAGAGAGAGAGGTGGAAGCATGTGTGTGTAAAAGAACCATTTTGAAAATTATGTTTTTAAAATATCGTTTTCTTTTTAGTTTTGATTTTGTGTGTTTTAATCTTCCGTTTTTTGTTGTTGTTGTTGTTTTTTACATTTGGTTTTCATCCTGTCATAACATTTATTCATAATTTCCAAACACTACGCTTTTAACCCGTCATAATTTCGAAACTGTTATTTTTCCGAATATTGATTTTTTTATGTCTTTTATTTATTAAAGATCTGCCTCCGAGCTTGCGGTTTAAATTCACAAATGAAATTGATGGTAATATTGATGGTGACGATGATAATAATACGACCGATAATAATTATAGAAAGGACAACGATAATAATAATGATAATAATATATAATATTAATAATAAAAATAATAACAATGATAATGATAATGATGATAGTAATGGTACTAGTAATAATGATAATAATGATAATAATAGAAATAAGAATAATTAGAATGATAATAATGATAGTTGTAGAGATAAAATGATAAATGATAATGATGATAAAGATAATGATAATAGTAATGAGGATGAAAATAATGATAATAATTGTAATGATAATGATAATGATAATAACAATAATAATATCAATAATAACAATATTAGTAATAATAATGATAATAATAATAATGATATAAAGATATAATTGTTATTATTATTGTTATTACTATCATAATCATTATTATTACTTTTATTATGATTATTATTATAATAACAACAACACCGACAACAACAACAACAATAATAATAAAGAAAAATGATAATAATGATAATGATAAAAAGAACAAGAATAATCCTAATAATGACAATGATAATAATGATGATAATGATAATACCAATAAACAGGATATCAGTAGTTCAGACGTTCAGTTTCTCCTTAATGCATTTCACTACTATATCGCAAAGATGAAAAAACTATGTGAGAATCATTACAAGTCCGCTTCCACTTTAAATCCAACGAGTGATCTTGCCTTGAAAATACATTCTATTTCCACGAAGATTTAGTTGAATGTTACTAATTTACAATTTTCAATAAGACTTTGCCTCTTTTTCAGTCGAATGCCCAGTTTTTTGTTTGTTTGTCATTCATATATGTATTTTCTTCTTTCTTCTCTTTTTTTTAATCTCGCTTCTTTACAAAGACTTTCAGATTACTCGACCTTGAATAAAGCATTGCTTAATGGTTAATGGTTACTAAGCAAGATAAACGTGCGAGAAATCTAAGGGTCATATAGCACTATAGAAAGATAGTAGTGACAGGGGTAAAGAGGGGGGGGGGGTAGTTGATGATTCTAACTCCCGCAAAAGGACAGGTGAAAGGTGCAAAGATCACCTCTTAGCCGTGGATAGCACCTGACCTAACCCACATCGATATCACTTAACCCATTACTAAATTATGTTGCTACTTGACTGGATACGCTGAATTTCCTTATCACCAACGCGTGTGAGGTTTACTGAGAACGAATAGATGTTTATATAATGCTGGAGATTTGATATGTGTGTTTCTAGGATTAGGCTCTTTTCGTTTCTTTGTGTTTTGTTTTGTTTTAGTCTGAAGGGGTTATATCTAGTACCTATTTTTTCATTCTTCATTGCTTCTGCGAACAAAAAATAAGTTTCTACGTAATACTATCATGCAAATTAATCTCTTCTGAGTCATTGAGGAAAATAAATGTAAACACACCTCCATAAACGTAAACAGAAGACGAACTAACATGGTCAGTGGTGTTGAGCAGCTCGGCGACCTTCTCCAAGAAAGCCCCAGCATCTCCTACTTCAGGTCCTACGCCTTGACGACACACGTGGGGCGGCGCCGTCAGGATGAAGAGCTGGGAGTAGAAGGTCAGGGCGCACATCCCGGTGCTGAAAGGGATGAGGACGAAGCAAAGGACGCGCTGGTACAGGCCGAAGGACCCGA